GTTCAATATAGTACTGAAAGTCCTAGCCAGTACAATAGGCATAAAAGGAAAAACAGTCATACATATTGGAAAATCTGTGGGAGGCATGAATATCTATGTAGGAAATGCCACAGAGCACAAAAACAATGCTTATAGAACATATGATTGCTTCACAAATTCTGAGGATATAAAGCAAATACAAAAATATCAATTGTATCCTCTCTGAACTAGCAATAAACATGTGAAGACTGAAATTAAAAACACAATGCCATTTACACCTACTCCAAAAATGAAATGTCTATCTATAAATGTTGAAAACTTATACAGGATTTACAAGCTGAAAATTAGGAAACACTGATACAAAAAAGTCAAAGGTCTAAATAAATCAAGAACTGTACCATATATGGTATAGTTTCAGAAATATAGTAAATACATAATTTAGTGAACTAATATATTAAATACTATAGTGGAAATTATAGATATCAGTAATTTGATCTATGGGTTTAATACAGTCCTTTCAAAATAAAGAAGAAATTTTGTAGACAGACAAGCTTATGTTAAAATTTATATAGAAAGGTAGTGGAAATAAATAAAATAAATAAATAAATATGAGAGGGAACCACACTACTTGAGTATAGCATTGGCAGAGGATAAGTGGAACAGAATTGAAAACCCAGAATCAGATCAATATAAATAATTTTTGACAAAGTAGCAAAATCAGTTTCATGGAGGAAGGACAGTCTTTTTAACAAATACATTTTTAAAAATGTTTATTTTATAGTTGTAGTTGGACACAATACCCTTATTTATCTATTTTTATGTGGTGCTGAGGATCTAACCCAGAGCCGCACATGTGTGAGGCGAGTGCTCTACCACTGAGCCACAACCCCAGCCCTTTAACAAATATTGCTGAACATTCATAGAAAAAATAATAAGCTTCTACTTCAAACACAACCATACATATATGATAAATTCCATTATTGTTTTAAGTTTGAAATAATTTTTTAAGCAAATACAGAAGAAAGTTTTTGGTATTTAATGGTAAGAGTTCTTAGACAATGACTACAGAAGTATGTTACAAAAAGGGGAAAATGATAAATTGGACTTCATACAAGATTAAAATCTCTGGCATCCCCAAAATTCTGTGAAGAGGTTGATATCAAGAATTACAAAGAACTTTCAAAACAACAGTAAAAAAATCCAACTATGAAATGCAAAAAAGAAATGAGTAGATATTTCACTGAAGAGAAGATACAAATGGTGAGTAAGTACATGAAAGTGTGTTTAATGACTTAAAATTCCTTTTTTGATAAATAGCAAAGATCTTATTATGCTCTATAAAAACAGTAACAGTAAGAGCTGGTTTTGCTTAGATATGTCCCAGTTTATTTGCAGAGAGCCTAATTATGAATTGAGTGCTTGATAAATAAAATTTTCAAGAAAGTTCAAGTTCGGAAACAATGAATTTTATGGTCACTCTCCCTTGTGTCATTGGTCTCCAAATAAAAAAGGTAATTATACATTTTGCTGTCATTCATTTTTGACCAAAATGTATAGAATGCTTGCCTGCATATCCAGTCCTTTTGGCAAATTCATTTTGGTGGCAAATACAGTGCACAGCTGTAGTCATCAAGAAATACAGACATTCAAGTAATCAGTTTTATAAAAAAGAGAAATAGTAACTTTAGTACTTTTTTCTCATATTCCTGCTTCTCAGGTTTTGTACAGATCACTATGACCCAGTAATATGAAACCCTTATTTCTCCTCTCACCAAAGTTTAGCTCTCTGTGTTGAGTGGACAATCTTACTCTTATTTAGAAGGGATCTGGCTCTTTGCTTTCTTATTGCTATATCCTGAGCTATTTTCTCTGCCATGCCCTTCTGCCGAGATATTCTGTGTCACCTTGGGCCCAGAACTATGGAGTTGTCAGACCATGGACTGAACTCTGAAGCTATAAGCTAAAATAAACTTTTTTTCCTCTAAAGTTGTTCTTGTCAGGACATTTGGTCAGAGCAAAGAAAGAAGCAAATTGGTACTGAGACATGGGATTGTTGCTTTGACTAAAGTGACCATGTAGTTCAGAAGACTTTGGAGCTGGTCTGTGGGGTGGGGGTGGGGGATTTTGAAAAGTTTAGAGATGCAGGCTGAAGAAGCTTTAGAATGTTGTAGGCAGAGCTTAGTAAGTGATTCTGGTAGGAGCTCAGAAGACCAGAATGCCAAAACATATTACTGTGACAGGGAAAACTGGGCTCATGAGGTTTCAGAGGGGAAAGACTCTATTGCAAACAGGACTACAGCTATTCATGTTACGTTCTGGCAAAGAAATTGTGTATATTTTGCCTATATCCTGAAACTCTATGTGAGGCTGATTTTAAAGGTAATGGACTAATTAATTTGGTGGAGGAAATTTCTTTTTTTTTAAGAGAGAGAGAGAGAGAAAGAGAGAGAGAATTTTTTAATATTTATTTTTTTTAGTTCTTGGCGGACACAACATCTTTGTATGTGGTGCTGAGGATCGAACCCGGGCCGCACGCATGCCAGGCGAGCGCGCTACCACTTGAGCCACATCCCCAGCCCTGGTGGAGGAAATTTCAAGGGAGCACAGCATTCAGGGATGACATGAGAACTGCTAGTAGCTTTAGCCAAATTTACTGTCATAATCAGGAGCAGAAAGCACAACAGAAAAATTTGAAAAACTTGCAGTTTGGCCAGAAAAGTATAAGACTAGTGATTTGCTAAGGAACTTGTGGCTGTTAAAGAGATTACAGTCACTAACTTTGCCTAGCAACAATAGGAAAGATGGTTTGAGGGCATCTTGGCAAGACCACACCCATTTTAGGCTCAAAAGTGTAAAAATAAATTCCTTTGATAAGAGCCCATATAGGCACTCTGCTTGCACAGGGGGTCACGGTTTCACTGTGATCAGCCACCCAGGTACTTGGAGGCAATTGCATCCGTGGTCCCAGAAGGTCTGGCAACTGCTTGAGAAAGTGGCAGACCTTGGTGTGAACAACATGGTGCCAAGTCTGAAGGCATACAGAATGCTGAAAGTCATGAAGGCTTCCACCGAGATTTCAAAGGAAGGCCTGGGAGGCCAGGAAAAGTGCTGCAGAAATAGATTTCCTGTGGGCTGCCTGGGAGAGGGTAATATGTGAAGAAGTGAGAAGGAAGCCAAAGTTGCAACAGAGACCCCTGAGATTAAGAAAGGCCAGTAACATGTGACATCTGCTGAAGAAAGAAGTAGGAATGGAGCAGAAACAAGACAAGAGAGAGGCCATGTGGACTGCAACAAGCAAGGACATAGGGGCAGAGCTGCATAAACTCCTTGAAGAGAATATCACAATGCCATTTGCCCTAGATACTTGAAATGGAGCTACAGAATTTGTTTGCCCAGCTGGATTTTGGTATTATTTTGGTCTCATCCCTTCTGTATGTGCTTCTATTTCTCATGTGGAATGGAAATGTTTATTTTGTGCCCTTATGTATTGAATATATATAACTTGCTTTTTTAAAAAAATATTTTTTTAGTTGTAGATGGACACAATGCATTTATTTTATTTGTTTATTTTTTTATGGTACCAAGGATCGAACCCAGTGCCTCATGCATGCTAGGCAAGCACTCTACCACTGAGCTATAACCCTGGCCCCTGTAACTTCCTTTTGATCTGTATAGTAGAAAAGAGCTAAGAGTTTCATTCATGTCTCAGAAGAGATTTTGGACTTGAAATTTTGGTAATGGTGTAACTTATGTTAAGACTATGGGTACTCTTGGAAATGGAATGAATATATTTTGCACTGTGAGATGGGCATCAGCTTTGGGAAACCAGGGGTGGAACATTATGGTTTAGATATGAGGCATCCTGTGAAAGCTCATGTGTGAGACTATGGAAAAATTTTCAGAGGTGAAACGATTAGATTATAAAAGTTGTAACCTAATCAGTGAATTGATCCTCTTAAATGGATTAAGTGGGCTGCAACTCCAGGTAGATGGGGTGTGACTGAAGGAGATTGGTATCTGGGGGTATGCTTTTTCTCTGCTTCCTTGGCACCACGCTCTGAGCTGCTTTCCTCTACCACGCCCTTCCACCATGATGTCATGCCTTGCCTTAGGCCCAAAGCTATGGAGTCATACTACCATGGACTGAACCCCTGAAACCATGAGTCAAAATAAATTTTCCTTAAAAAAAAGAAGGAATCTGACTTACATGAACTCTGTAGTAAAGTAAAATTAAAATAATTAGCAACAGATCTTAGTACTTTAAATACAAAATCTCAGGGAGCATTCATATGCAACTCTAGTGTAATTTAAAATATACAGAATTCTCTTCCACTGGACTGGATGAGGTAAACAAATCCTCTCCCCCAGTAGTAACTGTAAGATTAACAACCATTAAAAACAACAATTTCAGTACTCTGGAAACTGACCAAATGCAAACAACAGACCGAGAGGTACTTTTTCATGAAAACTACTGAACTTCAGATAAAAACAGTGCAAGAAATTATATGTGAAAGACCACATATTATGTGGTTTCATTGATATAAAATATCCAGAAAAGGCAATGCTGAAGACATAGAAAAGAAATCAGTGTTTTCCTGAGACTAGGTTTGAGAACAAGAGTTGGCTACAAAGTGAATCTGTATAGGCTACTCAAGTATCTATACTTAGTTAAACCATTTGATTTCCCAATACCATTAAAATTTACTGAAAAATGATCCATCTATCTTTGAAATAATATATTGAAACAACTTTTGAAAACAAACAGAAATATTATCTTAAATTCAAATGTCTAAATATTTACCTTTGCTTCTCTTTTCTAATCTTCCCATTGTAGACTCTATATTCCAAGTTTTAAATAAATATTTATGAAATCTATAAAGCTTTGAATCACAACAGCAATACCACTCAGGCTTAACCAGGAAAACATGACCTATAGGATTTTCTATCTTAAATTTCATTCCATAATTCAGCATAAATTACATTAATAAAACCAGTTACATATTTTTTGCTTGATACATTACCTTGTCTGACTTGTCAGTCTAAAGTCAGTGGTAGATTCCTTAAGTAAACCAATTCCTTCAATGTCAATGACATCATCCACTTCAGGCTTAGTAGCAATCAACAGCATGGGAAACTTCCAGATTCCATCTGTTAAGCACTCTATTTTCAGTGTAATATGAGACCTTGAATATAAAAGGAGATTTTAAAAGCTACTATAGAAACACAAGAGAACAAACATAGCAAATCAATATCTAAGATCAAAATGTAAGTAAACTTTGAGGTTTCAGCAAAAGCACTGGGTCATGTAATTCTTACATAATGCAGATGACTGTTAATTACATTTTAGAAATACTTTGTAGATAATGTTTAGATTGTCATTATCCCTTTGAGGTAATTATTTTGTAGCACATCTTATCTGGTATTTATTTATGTTCTAAAAATCAGTAGTTTATGCATAAAGAACTGTGCAAATTTTTATAACCACCATAGAATATCATAGTACTTAAGAATGTAAGGGTAGATTGGGCAAATGGTTTCAAGTTTTATAATAAAATTCCATTTGGGAATTTTCTGTCAAAATGAATCATTGTCAGAAATATGGTTTGTTAACATCTGAAAAGTTCCAAATTAATTGAATCTTTTTTAAAAGTAAACTAATTGGTAAAGATCACATACACCCTACTGAATAGCATATCATTGAAAGGCAGTTAAGTTAAGGAATAAAATCCAAAGGTAGACTTTGAAAGCATTTGGCTATGGTGAAGAATGGAGAGAGAGGATAGCAGTTGGAGTTGAACAATGGTTTTGTTTGTTTGCCTGCCTATAGTGGAAATGACTCAAATATGCAAGAATGTGGTTGCAAATCCTAATTCAGGATTGAAAAATGAAATCTAAAACTGCTTACCTAAAAGTGTCAGAAAGGACAGCACTGGAAACTCTTTTCCTTTGTAAGTAGGTGTATAAAATTGGTTAGTCATTTGGGCAGCAATTAGTCAATATTTTACCAAATTTGAACACTACACACAGTAAACCAGCAATTCCACTCAGTAATTTCCCTAGAGATATGCTTCCAATAGTTCAAGTGATATGTACCATGTTTATTGCTGCATTTTTTTATAGCATTGTTTATATTGCCAAAAGAGTGGGAGTGGCTGGGCATAGTGGTAGCATACACCTATAATTCCAATGATTCAGGAAGCTGAGGCAGGAGGATCACAAGTTCAAAGCCAGCTACAGCAATTTGGTGAGGCCCTAAGCAATTTAGTGGGACCCTGTCTCAAAATAAAAAATAAAAAGGGCTGGGGATGTGGCTCAGTGGTAAAGAACCCCTGGGTTCAATCCCTGGTGTCAAAAAAGAAAAAAGTGGGAGCAAAAATTTAAATTGTTCTTTCAATAGAGTGCTGGTTAAAAAAAAGTGCATTATATAGAAAAAATGGAATACTACGCAGTATAACTTAGCCAATGTCTAGTGATATATCATTAAAGTTAAAATATCTAAAATTTAAATCCTAAATGTATACTCTCTCATACACTCTTGTTATAGAAAGTAAAACTATATTCCTCTCTGTACTGTTTTCAAGACTTAATTTTCACACTTCTATTTTTTCTGTCTTACAAGGAAGAGAGAGAACTTCCATAATTTAGAGCTATTGTTTTATTTTGGTTTTTCATATTTTACTATGTCTCTTCCAGTGAACCGTCACAAATATATTTCAAACAGGGAATGGTAGAAATAAATGAACACGTACTGATGTGTATAAAACACAATTGTTAAGTTACATCAGATTACCATCCAACATCATCCATTCATTTTATGAATGATGTATACATGTTTTCCTAAATCAATTCTCCAAATATTTGTCCTTCAATAGTTTCCTATTGTTTCTAGCATAAATATGGACCTATTGCATCAAAACACTAAATGATAAGAACTCAACTACTCTTTCCAATCTTATTTCCTCCTTTGCTCAATATATTAGAGAAGCATTGGCCTTCTTACTATTCATTGCTCATGCCCAAAATTTCTTGTTTCATGTCTTCTGCATTTATTCTTTCCTCACCTTAAATGCTCTTCCCAGCTGTTATCAGCCATAAGATTTTAATTCAGACATCACTTCATAGAAGCCTAACAACCCCCCTTGTCAGAAGCAGATCTTTCAATAGTTCGATTTACCCTATTTATTTCCTTCTCAGGACATTCTGAAATTTGCTTGCTTACTTATACATTTATTTCTGTTATCTGTCACTCTCACTGAGTGAAACACTCCAAAAGTGCAGGAATTTTGTTTCTTTGTAGAAATTAAATGATTTTTTAGTAAAGTAATATACGTACTCAAATGACTATTGCTGAATACTTCCATTCAACAGGTCAATTCTTTGAGTTAGCATGAAATTACCATGTCAACATTTTAGGGCCATAGAGGGGAAGACTACTTAATTTCACAGATGGCACAGATTCATAGCAATGTATATATGTGATATCATCTATTCTAAATTATCTCCTCCAAACTGCATCAGAATTTGGGGTTCTCATTATGTTCAGCTCTTCAACAGGTAAAATTTTCCAGAAAAATGTCAAGCTAAGATAATTAGTGTTTCTGTAGATAAAACATGACGAATGATATAAATTCTCAATTTAAAAAACTTGTTTAGACCTGTGTTACATATTCACCAATGATAATATTGTTCTCCTTCTAGCTGTTGCTGAATATTCCATATCATTAAACTAATGAAATTACATAACTAAATAAAAAATACTAGCAAATGAACATAGAAAACTACAAAAATGAAATGGAAAAGAGGGCAATGTCAGCATTTATAGTGCACTATTTTCTTGTAGCTTGCATTTATTACTGCTTCCTGAAAATGATTCTATTATTATTTTGTTATTAGAATACATATTCATAGCCACTTCAAATATATGCATACCTATATCAAATACATAGTTGCAAAGTTTAGAGGCAATTAAAGCACAAGTAATATTTTCAGATGTTTTGTGTATTACCAAGTTTTATATTTTGTATATATTGATTCTGATCAGTATCTCTGCATTCAGACACAAATAAATCCCTATCTCAGATTTGACATACATATAATATTTATAAATGCTAAGTGTCAGTAGCCCAAAGAGTAAATATAAAGACATTGGATGAGATTTCCTAAAGGGGAAACATCCAAAGCCTACTATTCTTACACATTCACATACGTCTTAGTAACAGATGTGTAATGTTATGGTGTTAAGTGGTAAAGGGTAATGAAAGCAGTTGCAATGTAGAACATAATGTAGGCATTCTCATCATTTGAACTGGTTCTGTTCTGAAAAGTAGCATCAAGAAATATGTTGCCATTGTACACCCCTTGGTCAGTTTCTTTAAAAAAGATATTATAAAATAGGCAATTGTTATCTTTTGTTAAAAGGACACTCTAATGACTTAGGGAGGTCAGTTTCTGAAAAATAGCTTAGACTTCCAACCATTACACATTAGAATATTTTTCATAGTTACTAGCTGAAAATAATTTAGCCCCAAACATTTCCCTTAATAGCATCAAAGAAGTAATATGATCCAAATGTTGAAAGATGGAAATAAAAACCAAACATTTAATTTAGTTAGATTGGTTTAGTTAGCAATATTAGATAATTTAGTTAGTTGAGAGTAATAATATTATTTAAAGAAAAAGACAAGTAAAGCAGGTTTACCTCAATGGTTTCTTTGGTGTAAATGTCAGATTGAAGACCAATGATATCATTTGGTGTTTGATATTATAACTTTTTTTGATCAAATATAAAGCCAAACAGGATTCCAAGTTAGACTTCATAACTTCATTTTCAAACTCTATTTCATATTCAAATTCACGTAGTTTAGGAATTGCTAGGAAAATTAAGATTAAAATATATTTCAATTTAATTAAATATGTAGAGATTGAGCATCAATTTATATATCAACACAAGTCATGCATAGGTATTTAGTGGAAGGGAGAGGCCATAATTATCTAGCTCTGTGTTCATAATGTCTAGTACATTTTCAGCTACATAATACTATGTATATTTTATTAAAAGATAAATAAATAAATGAATGAATGTAAAAAGTAACATAGAAGACAATTCTTGCCCTTCGTAAATCCTTACAGTTCTGGATTATGGAGTAGGAAAAGCCCAATAGAAATTAATGGTCAATATTAACTATGAAATAAAAAATGACATGAGATGTACTCTATATTATAAATGCATATTAAAAGCTATAGATGTGAAATATATAAAAAGATTTAAATTTAATTCAATTTAAACAATTTCAAAACAGCATCTCAAATTATTAGATCAGAATTCTCAATTTCAGATATATTTCAATAAAAGAGTGTTCTTTATGTTTTAGTCTTGAAATTTAAAGACAATATGTTTAGCAACATTTTTTTTAACCAGCAGGTTACCAGAGGTAACTAATATTAGAGTTTTGTCCACTGCAGAAGAAGAATATCCTAAATTCAGGATTATAATGGAGATAAATGGCAAAAATCTGTATTAAATTTACTCTTCATTTACATGTAAGGGGCTCAAACCACAAATCAAGAAGTCTATTGAATGTGGTTAATAGAAGAAAGATCAAAGAATCATGACTTCACTTAATCCACAACTAAGCTCACTTCTAAAGTCTATCTCTGGTGTATAAAGCTATTCCTTATTATATTACTTTAATTCAGAACATATAGCACTTTCTAACCAATTTTAATAGACAACACCAGACCACTTTTTAGAAGTACTTAATGTTAAATTTTCTACTAAACTCTAAATGAAAGCTTGGCTATGACAGCACACATAAGAATAAATCTCTAATCTCCTAAATTTCTGATTTTCAAATGACCAAAATTATAAATTATTATCCCTGTCATAACCATCTCTGACATAGCAAAATCAGTGTGTCTACATATAATGTGTCTACTTGTTCTGACACTCGAATATGGAAATGTTCCATAGGAATACATAATCCATGCAGAGAAAATAACGTTTAAGAATGTTGAAGTGTTTTAGGAGAGATGAGCTTCCATTTTATTCAAATAACATAATAAAGATTTTTTTTAAAGTGCTGGAGCTTGAGAGCCAAGGCCTCCTGCATGATAGGAAAGTGTTCTACCATTGAGCTACACCCCCAGCTAAAGTTTTCTTTTTTTATTGTAAAGCATGTCTTGAATATACTTTCGGCATCTGTTTCTGCTTAATTATTGAATCCTTTCTGGGAATGGTGGTTGCAGAATGAAACGAGGGAATGAGAAGTTAATTTTAGTTTCAGAAGCTTTGAACCACCTCTAGAGATCTGTTACTATGGATGTCATAATTAAATTCATAAAAAAGTTCTATTAGTATAAGATACATTCATGCTTATTGGCTAGGGGACAAAAGGTGAGACAAGGAGGAATCAGTGTAAGAAAAGGTATAGTTCTTGCCCCTCCAGAGCTTATGATCAAGGGAAGGAACTGACTGTTGCTAATATGAACACTAATTTTAAATTATTTCTGTAGTAACTGCTACCACAGAGAAGTAAAGGAGGCTATGAGAGTAATACTGTCTTGGAGACTTGATTACTAAGGATTCCTGTGGAGGAGACCAATATACCAAAACTGAAGGGTGAGTGAGGGAGGAAACTTCTATTCATTGAAGAGATCTATGGGAATTGTTCATGGTGCATAAACCAGGAAGGCCCATTGAGGAAGAATTTATGTGGGTGGAGCAGACAGAGCGGGAGGACCTTGTACAAAAAATGCAGCTAACAAAATAAGCAAGAGCTAGACCATGTTGGGGTTTGGAAATGATCTGGGATTTCTAAGAATGATGAGAGGGAACTGGTGATTATCATCCAATTTCAGATCTTTTCCAACATTTAGGCATCATGTCTTAGCACTTTTTTCATAGATGATTCTTTTGTATACTTCTGAGAAAAATCATTGAATGCAATTGAGAGGATTAGGTTTTCATTTCAAAATGTCATTTGTCAGTTATTCAAAATGTACCTTCTAGTACATTCTATCCCATAATACCCAACCAGAGCTTTAAATGATAACAATGGTAGTATCTTATACTTATGGAGCACACATTGAGAACCAGGCATTTTCTAAAGATTTCACATGCGTTTATACATTTAATCCTCAAAAAACTCTATAAGAGGAATACTATTATTATTTCCACATTACAGCACTCAGGTATTTATATTCTTGTCAGAGGATGACAGCAAACAACAGAGATGGAGAAAAGGGACAATTAGTAAGATAGTAAATTAATACCAAGAGCAAAACTCCTTCAATTTGCTGACAGACTAAGCTATGAGCACAAATTTGTCCATTATATTAGGTATACAGGAAAAGTAAGGCTGATGGTATTCTCTCTCTTGTTTTGTTTTTTTAGTACCGGGCATTGAACCCAGGAGCATTAACTACTGAGCCTTTTTACATTATATTTTGAGACAGGGTCTCACTACGTTTCTTAGGCTGGCTTTTTTAAAACAGTTTTTTTAAAAAATATTTATTTATTTATTATAATTAGGTATATATGACAGCAGAATGCATTTTGATTCATTGTACACAATTGCAGCACAACTTTTCATTTTTCTGGTTATACATGATGTAGTGTTGCACCAAATGTGCAGTCATACATGTACCTAGGGTAATGATATCCATCTCATTCTATCATCTTTCCTGCCCCCATGCTCCCTCTTCTATCCTCCCTCCCCTTTGCCCCATTAAAGACCCCCCCCCCCCCCCGCATTATGGTTCAGCATCCACTTATCAGAGAGAACATTCACTTAGGCTGGTTTTGAACTCACAATCCTCCTGCCTCAGCCTCCCAAGCCTCTGGGATTACAAGTATGCACAACCATGCCTGAGAGGTTGACAGTATTCTTAAGGGTATTCTTATTAGAGCAGGTAGGACAGGAGTTGATCAGAGAAAATAAAGTGAAGAGGAGCAGAGAAAAGCTTTAAAGACTGGAGGCCAATGTGGGCTCACAAGAGTATCACTGAAAAGTTCCTCAAGATATATTTGTGATTATAGACCAAATCTGACATGGGAGTTTACATACAGCATTCAAAAAAGATAGCAAGGTGATTAGCCTAGGGTGAAATGAGACAATTGTGACACACAAATCAGCAAATCAGACAAAAATATAACAGCTTAATTTAAGAACAAAAGTTTTGAATTATAGAACACCTGGGAAATAAAAAGCATGATTCTGATGGACAATTACATAGTGAAACTACTCCTAGATTAAAAAGTCCTATAGAGAAAGTCACTGAACAAATCCCTAGAGAAGCACAAACAACACATGGGCCAAGAACTACTTAGGAAGAAGAAATACAATTACAGGGGATATCCTGCCCAGAGAGAATGATTTGTAATCTTCTAGAAGTGACATTACAAACTACAGTCTAAAAAGTGAAGTATGATAATATCCCAGTAGGGTAACATCAATTGATTTATATAATATAGGCATACAAATCCAACATATTAAATAGGGTTTTTCTTAATCCCTTGACAACCGAGTCTGTGTCTTGTTAATTTTGGCATCTTTGGGACCGAGAATAATATCTAGTAGCAAAGATGCTTGCTAGAATGTTGTTCAATGATAAAGGTATAAAAGCAACCAATCCCGGTTAATTCAAAGATGAGTATGAGGAGTTCAGGTAGAGAGGTCACAGCATTTTTATTTAACATGGCTTAGTATTTTTATTGGGTTTAAAAAAATATATGATAAAGATAAAGGGTGGGTGATGGGAAGAGAATGCTGGGGATTCTTAACTACTCCTACTTATCACAGAGAGGCCTATTCACACACGAAAGGGTGAGGGGACATAGTAGGGGGAAAAAATCAGCTTCGACCTGTCTCTTCTATCATGACTTGCCCTGAGAGTAAAAGCAACATATCTGACTAGTGAATCCAGTCACTAATGAAAAATGGAAACGGAACATGAGCACATGAGCCAGCCTCTCTCTTTCTTCCCCAATGTTTTGAATCTAGGATTCATACTTTATTTTCCTCCCTCATGTGTAGATTGTTTGTCTCTGCAGGGAGTCTACAACTGGTCAGTTTGCTATGAATGCAATTGTTACTGTGGAAGGTACTAATAAGCTCAAATAAGTCCATAGAGCCATCTCACTTTCAAATTCATATTTATAATTAATAAAGCTAACACTTTGGTCTCCATATGCCTTATTTCTACATCTGTTCCTCAGTTAGTTTTAAACTCAGATGAGAGAAGAAAAGGATGTGATTAAATTTCACTCCGAAAATCCAATCAGGGTCCAAGCCACAGAAGAGTGCTTTAATTTCCATCCTAAGAGACTTAAGAGATAACAGGAAGCAGAAAATGGCCTGGACAACATAACTCCTGGATATTATTTCATGTGTGGTATGCACTGTAATTAAATTACACAAGGGGGAAACAGTCAATTTGCTTTTGCATATACTAAAGACTAAAATAGCATTCAGATTTATCAGTCAGAATTGTCCCTTCAAAAAGAAAATAGGCGGGAAGGGAGGGCCAAAACAGATATAGAGTGCAAGCACGTTCATTATGTCCTTGAAATAGGGCAGGGAAAGAAAACAACTTATTGCCATATACCCTTAAGAGGAGGATGAGGTCAACTAATTTATCAAATATTTAGATACCATAGAGACAGAAAATATTAAATCGGGAGGGAACTGATTCATTTCTATACAGCAAAACACACTTCATGTAAACAATAAAAGAGATTTACAAATTAAAATGTAGAGAAAAACAGATGAGCTTGTTGAGTTTGGGGTATTGAACAGAGAAAAAGGATATTTTAGAGAGAATAATGGGTGGAGAAAAGCTTGCAAACCTTCCATGTAGTTATTTTCAATATTAGGTATTTTTTTTCATCATGAAAAGTAATGAAGCAGTAAAATGAGAGTCATATCAAAATATGTATTTTCAAGAGCTACTTGAGAGATTGTTTTCTTAATATGAATTTCAACGTTTCTGAAATGATGGAAGTAGCTTCCTGACAGACCTTGATTATTGAGGAGGATATGCTTTTTTTCTGGTAGTAAGCTTTAATCAATTTAATTAGCAGAATTAGGGATTCTATGGTTTACAATCTGACAAAGTACAACTTAGGCAATTTAAAGTAGTGAGACAAGCAGAAAAGGCCCCTAGGTCTATTTCTGTAGCTTCCTTTACACTTAGTGTAACATGATATTTGCACTCTTCATAAATTTTTTTAAAAGCACAATACACTATTGTTCACTGTAGGCACTATGCTGTACAATAGGTCTCTAGAACTTATTCATCTTGCACAACTGAAACTTTATACCCATTTCTCCCTCCTTACATACCCTGGCAATTACTGTTATACTCTGTTTCTATGAATTTGACTAATTTAAATTTATTATAAAGTAGTATGTCTTTCTGTAGCTGGCTATTTCAATTACTATAAAGTCCTCTAGTTTCACTCATGTTCTTACATACAATAGAATTTCCTTTTTTTAAAAAAAAAACTCAATATCATTCCATTGTATATTTATACCACATTTTTTTTCTATCTACTCATCTGTTGATGGACATTTAGGTTGTTTCTATATCTTAGTTACTGTGAATAATGTTTCAATGAATATGGAAATATGGATATCTCTTTGAGATCCTGATTTCAATTCTTTTGGTTAAGTATCCAGAGGTAGAATTGCTAGATCATACAATTGTTCTATTTTTATTTTTTTGAGGAGCCTTCATACTATTTTTAGTAGCAATTGCACCATTCTTTGTTCTTCACAGCAGTGTGTAAAGTTTAAAAAAGTTTCCCCACATCCTTGCCAACACTCATTTCTATTTGCATTTTAAAAAAGAATAATAGTCATGCTGATATGTCATGGTGGTTTTGATTTGTATTTCCCTGATGATTAGTAATGTTGCCTATTTTTCACATAGCCATTGTACATTCTTTGGAGAAATGTCTATCAAAGTTCTTTAGCATATCTTAAAAACTGGTTTTAGGCCTTTTTTTATTGAGCTGTAGGAGTTCCTTATGTATTTTCCAGATTAACCCCTTACCAGATAGGTGATTTGTAAATATTTTCTCTCATTCTAGGCTGCTTGTTTTCATCATGTTCATTATTTACTTTAAAGAAGCTTTTGAGTTTGATTCAGTCCTATTTGTTGATGATTGTTTTATCTACTGTGATTTTGGTTATATCTATGAAATCATTGCCAGGACCATCATCATGAGAAGTTCTTTGTCATGGACAAGGTCTCTGAAAAGAGCATGTTCCAAATCTCCCTACAGGCTTTGATGAGTCTGGTTACACATTCCACCAAGGTGCAGGGAACCTTTAATATCATTACTGCTTTCTTAAAAAGGAAATTTGTCCATGAATTGCTGCTGAATTCGTATGTGTGGATAGGAGGAGGGTCTAGATCTCCTTACTCCATCCTGTTGCTCTCACTCAGTGCCATGTGATATACCAATTATTTGCATCACATAGGTGCTCAAAAAGTTTCAGACTTTGGAGCAGTTTGGATTTGAGGTTTTAGATTAGGGATGCTCTACTTGTAACATATATTAAAGTAATTTGAGATTTTATATAAAAATATGGAATACAAAGTAAAAGCATACAATAAACTTAATTAACTTTATTATCTGAAAACCATTTGGGCATTACATTTAATTTGTCCATTTTTCTATATTTTAAATAAGATACATTCATTCAAGATTTTGTTTCTAAATTTAAAACTGTAAGTTATAGCTTCAATCAGATTCCTTAAATCGGAAGACAGAGTTTTGGAACAAATTAAAGTTGAGAAGAAGTAGAAATTACAGTTACTATAGCTTTTTCCTTTCTCATCGTTGACAGAATCACAATCCATGTCTTATAAATCCAACAATAATATAACTATTGTCATTTTTGAGCTAACTGCTATGTGGAAACAACAAGCATAATAGAGCAGTCTTTAAGCACTAACTTAAATATTATATTGTAAATGAAAATTAAATGGGGGGCTGTAGTTGTAGCTCAGTGGTAGAGCACTTGTCTGGCATGTGTGAGGCACTGGGTTTGATCTTCAGCACCACATAAAAATAAAAAAAAAATTATAGGTATTGTATCCATCTATAACTTAAAAAATTTTAAAAACTATAAAATATTAAATAAAAAAATTAAATGGGCATGATTCTTTATAACTGAGCAGTCAGCAACCTATGATTCAAGATGAGCTTTAATTTATTTATTTTTTATATCCATGATTATGTTTCTCTTACCAATGAAATCTTCAAAAGCATTACTATATGAATTTCTTTTTGGAAGCACTAAAAATTCTGTCAATTCTGGGGCAGGACTTGGTCCAAAAAAATCACCAATAAGTGTGACTTCCACTTTCTCTTCTACTCGCTTCCTGGATTGACATTTTATGACAACTATAGGAGAGAAATATTTTCAGTTAAATTAACTATTAGGTTATATGATCATTCTTGACAGAATAAAATGAACTATGTCATGAAAAATAAAACTTATTTTGAAATACTTTAAATTCTCATTATCTGGCCTTAACAGACAGACAGACACACACACACACACACACAGACACACACACACCACTCATGCAATATATACATATATTGACATCTATGAAACAAGTATGAATATTAAAGAAATATTTAAAAACAGTATGACAAGAGGTAAATCTGTAATATATATATATATACTAGATTACAAAAGACTACATTATAATGCAGAAATTTGATTCAGAAACTGAAATAGCCATATCAATAACTCAAACGGCAATTGTGGACATTTAAATTTGTATTTTTTAAAAAATCTGGATGTTCATTTGGTAATATCAAGTTCCATTTTTATATATTATATACTTTTATATATTATAGAAAATGGCTTCAAATGAGTTTAGTAACATTTATTTTGTAATAACCTTTAAAATATTTCTATTAGATTTATTTAAAGGCATATTAAAATTCACATTTGAATTATTTAAGTAAAATATTTAAATTTTCATTTTTTTTTTCAGTACTGGGATTAAACCCAGGGTCAAGCTACCACTGAGCTACACCCCCATTCTTTTCTTTCTTATATTTTATTTTGACACAAAGTCTTGTCATGTTGCCTAGGCTGACCTCAAATTGTGATTTTCCTGCCTCCGTCACTGGAGTAGCTGAGAGTACAGTCGTGCACCACCACACCCTGCTTAAATTTTCATTTGAATTACTTTTTTTAAATTTACAAAATGTACCTTTTTTAGTAGTGAAAAACAAAATTATAATAAATTATTTAAAATCAATGTTAAAATTAACTGCATATTTAAAATACAACATTAAAGATTTATCTTATATTTAATTCTAATAATTTCATATAGAAAGTACAAGAAAAGCTTTCAATTATCTTATTAGAAATCAAAATATTATTTATATGTGCAATCACTAATTATAAAAAGAAGTATTAATATATTTTTTTGGCATTAACTCTATGGTACCATGAGGCCATGCCTACTAGAGTCCACATAAATAAGAATATTATTTCTCTCAAACATAATATATTATACTTTTATTAAGTCAAATGCATGTAGAATCTAAATTGAATATAAGGGGAAAAGGGAATTAATATAAAAAAGCTTTGAAATGTATTATGGGATGGTTTATGGTATCAATAGTAATACATTCACATAAACTGCAAAATTAATTGATGTCCTCAGATATATGTTTTCACAATACATATGATATTGCAATATAAAATACTGTAATAAGTTAATTTTTCATTAAATTTATGTAGATTTTTATTGAACAATATGGACTCACAATAAACAATGTGGATGTATAATAAGGGTAAAAAGTTAGATGTAATTTAAAGAAGCTCATTGGTGAAATGGCTGGAAAAACTGTAAAAGCTTTTCTAGTTATAATTAAGTTCAGTCTTAAAGCATTAAATTGGCCATTTAAATTTGTGATCAAAGTTACAATTGGTATCATATACTGGTCTTTTCCTATAGTCCTTAGGAAATTAGTGCCCTGGCAATGCAAGGCTCACTCAATCACAGCAGGTTCATTTTCCATTGTCTTCACAGTGTGACAGGGAGTGGAGTCCTTTTCCAATTATCTGCCCCAATGGAGAGTAGTAGGTAAGAATGCACAAAGAGAAAAGGTAGCTCACAGAACAACAAAAGCATCTTGGGTTTGCAAATAATCTGAGTGATAGATACACGAAAAAGGAAAGAAATAATGAACTTTGACAGTGATAAAACTGAGCAAGGAAAGCAGTAGTTTATATCTGATTAGTTATTAAATGAAAAAGTGGAGAATGGACTGTACAAAAGCACAAATAATATGTATGTATAAAATTAAACCAACTTGCCTCTCAAGGGCATTTGTAGAGAAAAGTAATTGCCAACAGATTTTAGATTTTCAATAAAAAAGATTTAGTAACTAATATGCAATCTTTTTGAGAACACTGATGTTGCTATTAGGTTGGGCTATTTACAGAACTCATATTTGATTTAAAAATCAAGTAATTACCAAGAAAAGTGACTCAAAGGAAAAATGCCCTGGAGCATGTTTAACTTTCTTTGAAGAAAAATATGCAAGAAATTTATGTTGTTATGTTCTCATAGGCTTTGTTATAGACTGAAAAATTCTGCTTTATGTTTTTAATCTGGGAAAAACAAGACTGTTTCTGTAGTGGATACAAGCAACACTACTATTAGAATTCCAACAGCATGATGTATAGGCTTTATTACATCACTTTTATCAGATGACTGCGTATTATAAATTTCAAATAGTACATCTCTATGGAAAATATACAATCACCTATCTTCTAGAATGAAATAAAAGACATTTGGACATGTATGTGAAATGTTCTGAAGATAATTTATTATATTTGAAACATTTATGTATTTGTTGATAATTTTTTTAACTTGAATAAAAATATTTCAAGGGAAACAAATGACATGTATTGTTAAAGGTATTACTATGTATGTGGATTTTTTCCAGTTAAAATTAAACTGCCTAAGGAAATACGTCATCTTGGTCTTTCTTTTAAGCAATGTATCTTGGGAAATACTTTATTTACAAGCAAAACTTACTACTTTCTCCTTTTTCTAAGAGTGTGGACATAATTTATGTCAGCATAAGTCAAATTCTTTTTTGTTGTTGTTGCTGGGGATCAAACTCAGAGCCTCACAAAGGCTGGGTAAGCACTCTAACATGAAGCTATACCACCACCCTGGAAATCTGATTCTTTACATTTGCAATGATTAGTATTAGAAAGAGAAGAATAAAAGCAAAATTTCAAGACTTTTTAAAACATCTGTGTTTCTCAAGACAGAGATCCAAAACAGCCTTTTGCTTTCCAGATTAATTTAATGGATGTTAGATATAAGGAACTGTACCTAGAGACTGGTAAGGGGTGGGATACTAAATTTCTCTATATGAGTTATCTAAGTGGAATTTTATTTCTTAGTGTGATCCTGGGAAGAAAATGGGAAAATTAAGGAATATAGAAGAAATGAGCAAATTATGGGGAAAGAGAACACATAGAAACTTGAGAGAAGCCTAGAATATGTGGGAAAAAAACAAAGGTATTTAAGGGCAGGGATTTAATGTTGTATCTTGGCAAAGTAAACCTCCCTGAAAACTTTGGTGCATTCAAGAACATCATAAAGATTTGTTTTATATCTAGTATAACTAAGAGAAATGAATCAGCATCCTCACAGGAGAGTTTTTAGATGACTAAGATGACTGTCTTAGATGACGTCACAGAAACTGAAATATGATAATTAAAAGTGACCTGGTAAATGGACGGAATTGGAGAACATCATGCTCAGTGGAATAAGCCAGACTCAGAAAGTCAAGGGTCGAATGTTTCTCTCATAGGCGGAAGCTATCCCAAAATAAGGGCAAAAAGGTGAGTGGAGGGGAAGCCCATGAAAATAGAAGAGAGATCAGTGGAGCAGAGGAAGGGGATGGGAAGAAAGGAAGGAGGGACTGAAAAGACAGGAAGAGTGAAATGAAATTGACCAAACTATGCTTATGAATATACCACAGCAAACTCCACCTTTAAGTATATCTATAAAGCACTAATTTAAAAAGTATAAATAAATACAAGGAAGACCAGTAGAGTAGAGGAAGGGGAACAGGGAAATTGAGGAGGAAAGGGAAAGAGGAAGGACTGAAATGGAGCAAATTATATTCTAAGCATGTGTGATTATGTTAAAATGAACCCCAATATTATGTATGAGTAAAAGGCACTAAAGAAATATAAAAAGTGACATGAGAACAAAAGTACCCAGGAATCTTATAGGTCTAATGCAAGGTTTTATGGGCTGAAAGGGTGAGAATTTTATTTCAACTTGAACTGATATCTGGGTTTTACTAATGGGATGGCACCAACAAATGATTGGTTTTGTGAAAAGTTATCAGACTCTTTTTTGAGAGAGGGAGTTAGTTATATTCTAGCATTCCCACCAATTTCACTGCTTATTTTCACTGGACCTTGAATTTCTTATCTGCATAAGGAAGAGGTGAGATTGGAAGATGGCTAAGGTCCCTTAGAATTCTGATGTATTTTGACTCCAAAATATACCTACCTGAAGGACTTTTAGGGAGTGGTGCCTGTGGGAGTCCAATAAAGGGGTATATCCACTGTATTGTTTGGATTTCTTGATTGTCTACTCCCATAGTTCTAAGTAGAAATTAAAATATTAAGAGAAAACAAAAATGCTTTCAATATTAGCACAGAAGAGCTTATTGTTTATTAACCTGATGGCATTTTAGTAACATTTGTAAATTTAAACTTAGGCAGAGAGAAACTGAAAAAATAGAAAACATATCTTGCAAATATTAATTTTATAAACATCTCTGAGCAAACTTTGGGAAATTATTACAAAGAAAACCATAATAAGATATAAGTTAAAGTTAAGGAGCTTCTGTTCTCTACTTTTACAGGATGCAAGTGGATACATCCATGTTACTAAATGATGATTAATAAAAGATAATACAGTTCTCATGGATTATATTCTAAATTGAACATATAAAACACAAAACACACAAAAAAAAATCTCATGAAGCATAGGACTTCAGAAAGTGATGAAGAATTTACTTTATAGAATTCCAGTCAAAAGAAAGTGGGGCCAGGCTCAGTGGCACATGCCTGTAATCCCAGCAGCTCTGGAGGCTGAGGCAGGAGGATTGTGAGTTCAAAGTCAGCCTCAGCAACTTATTGAGGCAGTTAGCAACTCAGTGAGACCCTGTCTCTAAAGAAAACACAAAATAGGGCTGGGGATGGGGCTTAGTGGTTGAGCATCCCTGGGTTCAATCTTCAGAACCACCCCCCCAAAAAAAAAAAAAAAAAAAAAAAACACAAAGGGGCATATGTCTAAATATTCTAGGTCCATCATATATCATTAGGAGAATAGCAGTACTAGAAAATATTACTGATCATTGCTGAAGATGGAATTTTCTTGTTAAAATGAAATGTAAAACACTGCAGTTATAAGACCAGTTGTGCAAGTGACTTGTGCAACTGTGTATGACCCCACATTTAGGACTATGCTTGTTTAGTGTACTACCAAAACTGTCTTGAAATTCTTGATCTTTTTTTAACAAGGATTTCCTTGTTTTCATTTTTCACTGAGGCCCACAAATTATGTAGTCAGCTAAGAGTGGTAAAATGCTTAGCAGAATGGATACTAATGGAACCAAAGTTAAAAAAAAAAAAACTAATTATATGCAGGAAAAAAATCTTAAAATCTAGGAGAAAATGAGAATTTCTTTTTAATTAAGAATTCTACCATTATTTAAATAAACTATAATAGCAGAGAAAACATTTAAATTTCGCACCATTAGAAGAGTTTGCTTAAATTTCAGCTAAGAAAAGAGAATACAAATTATCTGCATTTTGGCAATGTTATATCAGAATGTCATACCCACCTGGCATAATGCCATCACTTGGTGAATGCTAGCATCAGAAGTCCTACACTGTGCCCAGATAAGCAGCTTCAGGTTGTCTTCAGAATATTTGTTATTATTGTCCTAGCAGTTATTATTTTCCCAGTCAAAAGGGAGTACCTTTACATACCACTGACTAATTGATAATGGTATTTAAGACGGAACTTGTTCATTACTCTAAACAACAAATTAACAATTATATATATATATATATATATATATATATATATATATATCTCCATGTAACAAATGTATTTTCCTCCTCTGAACATATGGGTTTCAGCAGCTCAGAAAATATTAAATCATGAACTTTATAGCATTTATATATAACATGTAAAAAAAACCCTATTACATCAATGCCAGTCAAAAAAAATCATTTTCCTGTCTTTAATTAAATGTTACCTTTTAATCTCTGTATCCAATTCATCAAAATTGTCAATATGCCATTTTTCTCCATTTGCTCTCATCATTTGAACAATGACCATTGTTTTGCATAATTTCATAATTTTGGGCATAAATAACACTGGGATATCTATATTTCCTTTAGGTGGTAATGCAATTCCTGAAAAATACACAAAAAAATTTAAATATTATAAAAACTTACAGAATGTGAATTTAGCAGTACAAAGTACTCATCTAATTCTTTCAGTAATTCTTTTAAGTTTTTCAAAATTGCTTCTGAACAAAAAAATATGTTATGTCAAATTCAATGTGTACTTCACTATTTTCCCTCAAATGTCATTGACACCGTACAAAACCACATTTTATCCTGAGGTGAGAAATTTATCTTGAAAACTTTCGTTGTACTGAGGAAATGTTGAAAGTAAAGGCTGAGTTTTCCCAGAATGATAAGAGAACCATAAAACCCATGAGTCTTTTCAAGTTTTACCACATTTTCTAGGAGAAAGTGCAGCAATTTTACAGAGGAAAAAATACAGTGATTTTTGATCCTTTAATTTCTTGTGTATTTTTTTCTAGACTATAACATGATCATGTTTCTATTTGGAGCCCCCAAATTGTGGCAAGTATATCTGTGTAATTATTTAATAAATCCACAGGGAAAGCCAAAGCTTATTTGGAAAAGAAAGGTGTCTTTGCTCCTAGTTATTAAAACAAGAAGGCAGAAAAGCTGAAAGCATTTTCTTATGCTCTGATTTGAATTGTTCAACCCTTTACAATTGCTAAGAAACATGTTATCCATGAAGCCTGCTGAGTCCCAACTCTAGAGATTCTGATTTATTACCTCTGAGCTGGGGCCCAGGAAACTGCTACTTAAGTAGCACCCATTGTATCTGGAAGCAGATGGTTATGAGACCATATTTTGAAAGAAAAAAGTCTTTTGGACAAGTATGAAGAGATTAGAGGAGTGGTGAGCTTCAGGCCATTTTCAACAATGAGGGTATCCATGTGATGAGTGTCTACCTTTATTTTGATGAGTAAAGCTACTTCTTTACACCATAATAAAGAATTATTGAGTACACTGTTTTTTTAAAAAAATATTTGTTATAAGACCATTAATCAAAGCCATTTGACTAAGATAAAAATACTAAACTATTAAGAAGATAAAAAATGGAAATAGAAAATGACCCCACTGCAAAATATCCAAATTCAAAATTTTAAAATTTTCATATTTTAATTGTATTTACCAAGGAAAGGAAAATGTTCTAAGGTCTAATACCATAGTTAATAATCATGAATAATTAATAAGATTAATAGTTAATATCTACTGGATATTGACTATACTCTAGGATCTGTGCTGTTATTTATTCAATATTTTATTTAATTCTCAGAAAACCAACAAAAATTAAGCGCTATTATGTTTTTCATTGTAGATATGGCAAAACTGAGAGAATATGTTTAAAAAACTTGTCCAAAATCTCACTGAAAGATTGTATTGTTTTCTAATAATGATAGACATCTAAAATGTCTATTATTTTCAACTCTGTCTTTATGAGCATTATATTTTAATGAATCATTGTTGTGTGAAAGAGTTAATTAAAATAGATATGTACTCTAAAGAATTATCAGTCTTATATAATATGAATATCATTATATTTTGCATGCACAGAGATGTTGGTAAGAAGTTGTAAGGTATGTTTGAATTTTGGATCTACTCTTTGGTTTTCTATTGGAATTTTTATTGTGGTTCTCATTCTTAGTACAATAAAAGAGATCTTCTATTGCTTCTTTAAAACTATAAACTTATTTCCAAGGTAATGAAAAAGTAAGCTAGATGAATGTATATTTCAAAGGTCATAAGTGCAAATCCTATTAAGTCTAAAGCATATAGAAATTTTGGTCTTCTTTTTAATTAAAGTGAAATTACAGACTAATTCATTTTAAAACACGTTTGGATATAAACAGCAAGCACTGAGTCAAATAAACCATGCCTGTATTGCCAAGCAAGCCAAGCTTAGGAATTATCATTTGCTCCTACAAAGATTGTATTATCACTATAGATTATGTTATCACTAAAAATAAACTTAGGCTTTCAATAGTATAAGAGTCAAGACAGATAAAACAAGGTAATTCATTATTTATACTACTGTGCTTTCTTGTAACATTTAAATTGAAAGCATGGAAAGATAATGCCATGACAAATAAGTCCATTTAATTAAAAATCTAGTAGAATATTTGTGGTTGTAATCTTTTACCAAGCCTACAAGTAGAACTATAGTTGACTCCTGAATTTACTGCAAGATTCTTCTTAATATATTTATTATATTATTGTATATTATTGAAGTATATAATAATATATACTATATAATATAGTCACAATATATTATATAGTAAATGAAACATATGTGTAATATATTATAATAAAACAATATATACCATTATATATTATATATTATTATACCCTTGAATTGTTAAAATGGTGGTTTGTAGAAGAGTGCTTTCATTGGGTATTCTGAGATATTATGAGCTGAATTATGCCCCCTCTAACACCCGAGCAAATTCACATGAGAAGTCCTAACCCCCAATATCTCAAAATGTGTGTATATTTGAAGACAGGAACATTAAAAAGTGATTAAATTAAAATGAGGCTATTATGGTAGGCCTTAATTGAATATGTCTAGTGTCCTTAAAAGGAAAGGAAATTTGGAAAGAGAAAGAGACAACAGAGACATGCACAGTAAAAAGACCACAAGAATGCACAGTGAGAAGCTGGCCCCATCTATAAGCCAAGGATAGAGGCCTCAGAAGAAATCCAACCTGATGGTACCTTGAACTTTTAACCTCTAGAGCTGAGGGAGAATTTATTTCTCTTGGTTATGTAATTGTTATGACAGCCCTAGAAAACGAATACATAAAATTTTCTTTTATATGTTAATCCAAATATTGTGGCATGGGATTTCATTAAGTTTACTTTCAGACTCTTAACTCCAGACTCTCACAATATAGGGAAGATAGAAAAACTTGACTCTGACTGCTGTTTGCCTACTTTGATGATGGAAAAGCTAAGGATGAAACATTTTTCCTTTCCTACTTAGATCTCCTTCACTAAATGGGGATATTTATTAAATAGTCATGAGGGCATTAGGGGACTAAATTTGCCTCCGGAAGGATTATAGGCTATTGCTACTTTACCCTGTCCATTTTTAATAGAGCTGGCTAATATTTGAGATTCAATAAATGGTTGTTCAAAGCGGATGCTATCAAAGGGACTACTGCAGAAAAAGCTAAGCATTAAGTGGAAAGTCATAGCACTTATGGAGGCCACTGGGAAAAAACAGAAGTCCATGCTCTTCAAAAAAAAATGTTCAGTTTGAAACTTAACACAGTCCTTTTTAAGTAGCTTTTGGGGTTATTCTGTGCAAACATGATTGCTAAGGTAAATTTTACACAATGAGCAAAGTACTTATAAATTAAAGTACTATGTTTTCTTTTTTTAGAATACATTAGTAAACATTGAAAAGAATACATTTAATGTGTTCTTTTGAAGACTACATTAGTAAATATTTTATCATTAGCCAAAATGAGTGAAAAATCCAATATAAGAGACTTCTGATGGAGAGACAAGTGAAGGAGATTTCTGTTATGGAAGACTACCAAATACATACTATATAACCACTGGCAGATAGGAGAGAAGTGTTTCAAGCTTTACATGAATGTTTGAAATATAATATCTTAATGTTCTTATTAGTCCTACTGTTCTATAACATTTTCCTTATAAATGGAAAAGATAATTAAGATTAGAAAAATAATGTTTGAGAACTGAACATTTTTATTGGAAAGTGGCTAATTTTAATTTTAATTAAAATTACCCAAGAAGATTTTAAGATAAAATAATGTCTGCTACCACTACTATTATTACAACTAGTATATCTTATTGATCAATCATTATGTCTTCTTTTATTCTGCACTGTATTAAAAAAACCTTCAAATCTGTGGTTTATTATTCACTATCTCTGGGAAACTGGGTAACTCATTTAAATTTCTAAGTGAGATTTTTCTCATATAAAATAGAAAGCTAATATAATATACAGTGCAGAGGTTTTGTTATGGCAATGACATTACTCCAGTTGCATTCACATAATTACATATTGTACAGTATAATTTTATTCTATCCTATTTTATTCTTTCACTTAATTGTCAAAAAATACTTATGTGCTATGCATTTTAACAAATGCTGTGACTAAAACAGTGAAGAAAACAAACCTCCTGCTTTTCCTGAGTCAAAAATGTATTGGGAAGTGGGACCTTAAGTAGAAGTTTAAAAATAAAATATATACTATGTATGTTGTTATGTAAAACAGTAAAGGGTTAGAGAGTGATGTGAATCTTAATGCAGGGTGTTCCAGGATGGCCCTCTGATAAGGTATCACTGGAGCAGAGTAGGAAGTGTGAAAAGCCTCACAGACATCTGTATGGGGGATATTGAGACATCATGTAGATATGAGTCTGGAATTATAGGAAAGACTGAGGCTGGGCCTATCAATTTAGAAGCAGTATGACAGAATGAGATCTCCTCAGAAACAAATGTGGACATAAGTGAGGAAGACAGAAGACTGAGTCCTGGGCCTCTACAAAGGCAGGAAGACAGGATGAGCAAAAAAGGATGAGCAGGACTTTGTAGATAAAGAGAGAAGAATCATGGGAAAATTGAGTCCTGGAGGCCAACTGTTACCAAAACAAGGAGAGATGACCTGTCAAGTAGAGCTTCTGGATTGAGCAAGATGAGGACTGCATATGGATGATTAGAGCTGGTTATGTTAGATTGCTGGTGAACTAAAACATTTTTTCTAAATGCTGATGCTAGAACTCTGCTTATTTAGCTCTGGAAATTAGCAATCATATAAATGAAGCATATTTTATCTTTTAAAAATACATATAATATTTATTGTTATGAATTATTTTTAATTTGGTCTTGAGGTCCCTCTATCAAGAGTGATTAAATTCCAAGATACAAGATAGAGCCACTCTCTATAAGAACATTGATAGAGGTAATTCTGGTTTGTGTGTCAGGTAAGGCACAACAAGGAGGTAAAACCAAAATACATGCAGAAATTTATTATTCATAAGTGAAGAGAGGTTAGGGGTGCTGGCAAGGTACTAGCG